ACACCTACCCATCTCCAAATATATTACCATTGAAATGAATGCTATTACCATTCAGTTCTATTCCATTCCATTGTATGTACAGCTTCCCTCCTCCTCCTAATCCTGAATCCAAGTGCATCAACAAACCCTGTGGACATTTCCTTCCAAAACTACTCTCTTCCATAACACTACCCTGGTCCATCAAGTTATTTATCTTTTAGCCTAATTCACTTAAGAATATTGTTTTCTTTGACATGCCACTAATTTTGGCTAAATTTTCCAATTTGCAAATCCTTCATTACCACAGTTTAAAATCCTTCAAAGGTTTCCCTTTGTTCCAAGAAAAGAACCCACTCAATTTTTTTTTTTTTTTTTAAGATTTTATTTATTTATTTGAGACAGAGCATGAGAGGGAGGAGGGTCAGAGGGAGAAGCAGACTCCCTGCCGAGCAGGGAGCCTGATGCGGGACTCGATCCCGGGACTCCAGGATCATGACCTGAGCCGAAGGCAGTCGCTTAACCAACTGAGCCACCCAGGCGCCCCAGAACACACTCAATTTTTATTACTTATTATTTTTTTAGAGAGGAGAGTGGGGAGGGGCAGAGGGAGAGAGAGAATCCCAAGCGGCTCCATGCCTAGCATGGAACCTGATCTCACAACCCTGAAACCATGACCTGAGCTGGTATCAAAAGTTGGACGCTTAACTGACTGAGCCACTGAGGTGCCCCAAACCCACTTCTTTACCTGGCTTTGGGACCTGAAGAGCCTGGCTCCTATGCAGCTTCATCTTCCTCAATTCTGTCTGCTCCAGCAGTACTATGCTCCTTGTAATCCAAACCAGAGTACCTCTGAAAGTAAAAAATGCCTATCCTTGGCAAACTGGATTGTAAGTTGACCCCATCTCTCTGGCCCAGAATTTTTGCCCATCTTATTTCTTTTACCTGGAAAGCTCTTTACCTCTCTTTTGCTTTTCTACTCCATATTAATGCTTCAGTTCTCCAATAATGTCACTTCCTTTGGAGCCTTTTTTTTTTAAGATTTATTTTAGAGAGACAGAGAGCTTGTGAGAGAGCACATGAGTGGGAGGGGGGGAGGGAGAGAATCTCAAGTAGACTCCGTGCTGAGCATGCAGCCTGACAGAGGACTTGATCCTAGGACCCGTGAAATCATGACCTGAACTGAAACCAAGAGTCAGACACTCAACCGACTGAGCCACCCAGGCACCCCTGGAGACTCTTCTGACTAGGGCTCTCCATTATGAATTCTCATGTGATTGATTCTTCATACCATTTTTCTCAGTTATGATTTTGCAGTATGATGGTTTCCTCTATTAGACTTTAACTCTTGAAAGTATCTGTTTTTGCTCTATTATAATCCCCCCACAATCACCCCCACCCTAGCAAAAAGTCTGGTATGCAATTTTTCGAATAAATGTCAACAATAGTGCACTGGGGACACAGAGAGTCCCACTCAAGGGGCTCACAGTGTAGTATGGAAACAAATGCTTTATTACAATACAAAGACATGCTGCACTTACAGAATACACAATTTGATGTCCTAAAAGGGAGGTGGAGAGCTGCCTGACATGTCTCATAAGGTGTCTGTACAATTGCATCAGGACATTCAACAATCCTTGATGATTTACTTAAACCTGTAAGAGACTACTTCATAAGATAGATGGACTATATCCATTTACAATTAAAGGTAACTTTCCAATGACCTGAAGAAATGTGTGGCTAGAGTGTTGTGTGTCTCCTAGGAATGATGGGAGGCAACGCTGGGGTCAGATTGTGAAAAGACTAATTAAAATATTATTTATGCAAATTTGTAGTATATTTAAAAATACATATTTAAGGCAGGGGAGTGATTTCATTAGATTTCAAGTCTGAAGGAAGGCACAGGGTGAGCTAGAGGGAAAGAGTAGAGAAATTGGGGCTTATATAAAGTAGTAGAGATTAAGAAAGGGTGAGGAGGGCATACACCAGGTAAAATGAACAGCAACTAAAGGATCTGCAGGAGAGGAATAATACAGCATTAATGCACCAATTTGATATTAGTTAGCTAAACTTACTTTTCTTACTTGTGGGTGCACTTAACTTTGAAATTAAAGGAGGTAGAATCTTTACATACACGTCAATGGTTAGATTTTATATATATAGTTGCCTCTTGGTATAACCTCTAAGAACTTTCCATTTGAAATTTAACTTGTGATTCAAGAATTTATCAGTAAAATCCCCATATACAATGGCCATAAGCAAGGTGAACGAACTGTTGGTGGATATCTGAAAAATCCAGAAAAAAATTTCTAAACACTATCTAGAACCTAAAAATTCTGCTTATCAGAAGAGGAAAGGAAAGGGAGTGTCCAGCATGCATAGTTAGGAAAAAATTTCCTCAGTTACTGACTCCTGCCCCCTGTTCAACACTGGGAACCACAGCTCCTGTCATATAATTTTAATGATTAAAAAAATAGAAAATGTAAATATTCACTATAAGGTGACTTAGAATTTCATGGGTTCTATTTATAAAGGACTTTGTAAATTTTAAGTATATTTGGAAAGCTATTCCTCTGTTTGGGAAGGATCTGGGGGATAATGACATAGGTTTAGATTCTAGGCTATTTTAATACTGTTCTGATTGTTTTAGCAGCTTCTCATACACAAATCCTCTAGGCAACAAGAATATAATTATGGAATTAAAATCCTATCTTGGCATCCAAAACATTCATGAGAAAAGCAAGAGTTATCATTGTCTTTATGTTGAACATCTCACAATTCTGGGTAAGTGGTTCTCAATCTATCTCCACCTATGGATACCCATCAGTAACTAGTCCTAGCAGAGCATATCAGAATCAAGGTCCCACAATGTGCTGTCCTAGATTTTGTAAACACAATATGCTTCCCAAAGAATATGAAATTTCTCAAATGGGAAATAATAAAGACTTCCTGGTTGACATTAATTTTCAAGGATTTTTGCTAGTCATGTGCTGAGATTATCAACTGTCTATTGTTTTTAGTACCAATAGAGAGAGATAACAACAGTTTGTCCAAACAAAGTGAAACTAAAAATTTAACTGTGCAGATAACAAATGGTCAAAAAAATACTCTTGCCTTATTAATCAAATAACTTTTAAAAAACTTAACTGTCAAGACTGTTCCCATTTTCCACAAATAGCTTGTATTTCTCCACATTCTCAACAGTAATTCTAAAATTCTGTGGAGTCATAAAGTATATTATGATATTACCAGAAATATAAATCTCAAAGGTTCAGTATTTTGTTACAAATTTATTAAGACTTATTTTGCAAAAAAAGTGTCTATAGAGTTTATGTGTAGTATGTCACATCCAAATGGCATAGTTTAAAAAGGTTTGTGATGTGCTTTCAGAAAACATATATATAACTCATACAATTTTTTTGTAAGATAATGATAAAAAGTAGTACAGATATAATTCAAGTCTTTATTATCCAAATCATTCTTGATTACAAAATTCTTTATCTGCAATGGTTACTGTTTTTCTGGAGCTTTTTCCTTTTACTTACCACTCTAGTAATCCAATAGAAAAATTAGTCTGAGGCACAGGAAGCCCCTATCCTTAAGGCACCTTTATCATATTTTCAAAGCATAACATTAAAAACTAGCAATTAGTTCCTACTTTTAGGGACTTCAGAAATGGGTATTTATTACGACCTTATTCTTCACAACCCAGCATTACAGCTATTTAATAACTAGGAAAAAAGAAAATTTTTAAAAAATGGCGGAGCACAGATCATTTTACAAATTATGGTAGTGTTACGTTTTACTACTTCATGATTAACATTTTTTTTTCGAGTAGACCATGTGTACTTGTTTGCCTTTCCCTACTTCCCAAAGGTGAATATACCCTTCCATACAATGAACACATATTTGGAATTATGTTTTGAGATCTTTTTGAAGGCTTTAAACCAAACTGTTTCAACAGCTAGTGGACTAAAACACGAGTATTTCCCACAGACGAAAAGAATTATTTTGGGAATGCAGCTACCACATTCAAACTCATTGGGCTTGGAAGGTGGGCCTTTGCACCAAATCCAATCATTGGCGAATAGGATTAGAGTTTTATCATTAACCTCAAGACTGACCAATGGATTGGGAAAAAAAAAAAAGTATAAAAGAATTTTGATTTAAAAAATGCTTTCAAAAGAGTGAAGCAGGACACCACCGTGCTTGAAAGGTGTTTCCTTCCACACTTGTAAAGGGTTGTAACTTAGGCCCGCAGTTACAGTTATGAAAGAAACCGTCAACTAAATTGCAGCAGGTTAAACCGACACAGTTACTAACGTCCCGGAGTTGCTTTTCTGTTGCGAGTCGGCACCGCACCCTCCACCCCGCCCTCCAGGAAGGGACTTAGAAAGGTAGTAAAAGCTTTTTACTGAACCAGGCAAGGGCTCCCCACAAATGAATCAATCACAGGAGAACAACTCGGTCTCTATTTTTCTCCGTCTCCTCAGGAGCCCCGCCCTTTCGGGGCAGGAGACCCCCGAGAGATCCCGTGTCACAGGTCGCCTAAGCGTAGAAGGCGGCGGGAGGTGACCACAGTTGCCCAACAGTTGGGTTCCCAGGCTGCCTGGTGTGACGCACAGCCCCCTCCCCACCCCTCCGGACAGGCGCTCAGACTGTGCCGAGGGAGCTATGGTTCCAGGCCTGGGCAACCAGACTCCACGCAAGACCTGCTCCCTCGGCTTATCCAACTTGGCCCTCCCGCGGCACTCCGAGCCCCAACGTAGTTTTTAGCGTTTCCCCACCCCCCTGCTTCCCCCGTAGCTTCTCAGTCTCTCCGCCGCGACGTCCTTGCGTAATCATTCCGAGTGACAGTAGCGTCCATACCCGCACGGAGCGAGCCTGCAGCTCCCACTTCCCGGAATTCAATTCCCGGCCACTAAGAGAGGGCGCCCGAGCAAGGACCAGCGGCCCACGGCCGTGGCCAGAGTCCGGCGGCCTCCGCGCGGCCAGCGTGCGCGCTCCCATTCATGCGCGTGCGCGCATTCACTCTTCGCCCTCCTCAGCACCAATAGCTTTCCTTCTACAGCCCACGACTCCACAGCGTAGCCCCTCCCACCGCCCGCGCGCCAGCCGGAGGTGTTCGGCGTGCGCGCGCTCGTTCGCCCGCCGGCCCGCCTCGCGCCCAGTGGGGAAGGGGAGTGAGCAGAGGAGCTTACGTCGCGCGGGAGGCGGAGGCGACGGCGACCTCGGTGGTGGCGGCGGCGGCTACGACGGAGACGGTTGCGCTCGCTCTCTCGGCGTCATGGCGGCTGCCGGGAGCCGATAAGCGGCGGGAGCGGGAGCGCGCGCGTGGCCGCGGCGACGACGACGGCTCGTTACTTCTCGCTTTTGCTGCCTTCGCCGTTGGTGCTTCAATAATGAATTGATTGTTGGGTCCGCTCCGCAGGGGATCGCGCATTGGTGCCGCGGCCCGGGGCTTCCCCTTCCCCTCCGCGTCCTTCCCCTTCCCCCTCCTTCTCACGGACTCCTGCTTACCCCGAGGCGCCCGGAGCCCGAGGACTCACTCGGCGGCAGAGACCGCGGGCCCGGGCGCGGGGGAGGCCGCCGACCCGAGTCGGCTCCCTCCGCCCCGCGAAGCCTGCACGCCCGCCGGTAAGAAAGGGGGCGGCGGGCGGGTCAGGATGTGGCGGGGAGGACGGGAGCCGGCCAGGCGGAGGGCGGGGGCGGCGCGGTGCCCGGGCGGCGGCCCTGCGGCCGAGCGCCGGGCGAAGGCCGGGACGTCTCTGTGAAGGCCGGCAGGGGCTGACGGGCTCGGTGCACAGGGGGCGTGTGAGTGGCGAGCGCAGGCCGGCGCCGAGGAGCGCATCCTCGCGCCGGACGGGCGGGCAGCTGGGCAGTCGAGCCCGGGCCTCCTCGGCTTGGGGCTGGCGGGGCCGCGAGGGGAGAGCGGTGAGGGGAGAGCGGCGAGCACTTGCCGGGTGCTTTGGTCCCGCCGCGACCCGGACTCCCAGCACGTGGGGAGCGGCGGGGAGGGGGAGGGGGCGGCGGCCCGGGCGAGCCCGGGAGGGCGCGGGGCGGGTCTGCGGGAAGTTTGAGGCGGGAAGAGAGACCCGGGGACCGGGATGAAGGCCCGGAGAGGGACGGGGTTGGAGGGGGGGATGGTGAGCGTCTGGTTGGGAGGCTGATTGGAGCCAAGCTGCAAAGTATGGATGAGGGAGGAGGAAGGTTTCCAACCTCCTTTCGAGTACCGCTTTGAAAACTTAGCAGGAGCGAAGCAACTGTTAAAAGACGGGCGCAGAAAAGGAAGATTCAAAGAGGTATAGCGACTTAGGGAAGAGTCATTGTTAAGACGCGTGAAAGGCAGGAGAGAGCTGCGTGCGCCTGGAGCTTCAGAATTTACGGTTGTGAGAAGGTTTTCAGAAAGAGGACTTGGAAAAGGAAGTTACAGTGTACGGAGAAAGCCATTTTGAGGGGCGAAAAGGAGTGAAAAGGAAAGAACGAAGAGAGTTGTGAACTTTCTCGGTAAAGAGAGACTTTGGGCAAGAGAGGCAGTTTGTTAGAGTACCTGGATTTTTAAGACATCATTGTTTAATAGTAAAGCTCTTTGATTAGTTGGAATTAATATTTAACGTTGAGACTAAATGTTGCGTGGAATAGTTACTTTTTGGATGACCATTTCTTGGAAAGAGTCTACTGGACTGTAGTCTCGAGAATTAAAATAACCGATCAAGATGCAGAGTTTACTATGATTGGGTTGGCAACAGCGTATTTCCCCCCTCTTTTTTGTGGAGTGGAAATAATCGTAGGAGTAAATTCTCTTTGCTGAGGTCGGCGGACAGCTCTGCTCTCAGTCGCCTGTCTCGGTACTTTCTGGCTGGGGAAGGATCTGACGTCTCCTTCCCCCGCTTCTTCCTCTCCCTCCCCTGCCAGAGATCTCCTTTGTTTATTCGTGGATGGCTTGTAGGTGACTCTCCAGTGTTGGGCTGAAATCTTGAAGGGTGGAAATGCTGTGTCTTGGCTCATGATTTCTACCCCAAGCCCATGTCTTAATTAATCCTACTGTATATTCTATTACCTTTTTTTTTTTTTTTTTTTAATGGAACCTCTGCAAGTCCGAACTGGATAAATACTATTTAAATTTTATCACTCCACTCTCGGTTTACCTGCGAAAGAATACATTTGTTTTGACCTATACATTTTTCGCTGAAATTGTATGATACACTTTTATTCTGTCCTCATGTGAGCATTTTCAAAACTTTCCCTCACTCAGTTATATGAAGTTCTGGGTAATAGGAATTAGTGCTTGATTAAAGGTAATGTTTTTTTCCCCTTCATTTGTTTGACCAAGTTTCTAATAAGACTTTTTCTGTTCTTGAGTTATATATATGTATATGTTACATACTACCACTTTGCTTTATCTGTTTCTGTATAATGCGTATATATGTGTATTGCTACACAGTTGCAGTTTAAAAGTTTTATCACTCCACAAATATTTTAATTTCTTCTGTCAAAAATAAGCAGTAGTGCTAAATTCTAGTAAGTAGTCAGGAATGTAGTTAATAGAAGCCTAAGTATTTTGAGTGAAAGACCGCTAACCCTTCCTTACCATCTCTAATTTAATTGGCCTAGGTAGATTTGTATGAGTTCTAAATAGACTTAACTCATCTTTTCCTGGATAGGAAATTTTCTTACTTTCTCAATATATTTTCTTTAGGTGAATCAAAAAGGGCCCAGGAAGCCTGTGAATGTTGGAGAAAATTCATCTGTGAATTTTTGATGTTTAAGGAGTTCGTATTTGTATTCATCTTTTAAACTGGGAAGATTTATATTTTATTTTAAAACCTCTTGATATTTACAATGAATGGACACAGTGATGAAGAAAGTGTTAGAAACAGTAGTGGAGAATCAAGGTAAGCACTTTATTATCAAGTATTTATTATGAAGAAAATGTAAAACTTGAATGACTCTTTAGTTTTCTTAGTAGGTGGCAGAGTTTTCAGATCAGATTCTTCCTCTTAGTTATCCAAACAGTAATAAAAAGTTTCTGATACATGAAGTTTTGTTGGTAATACAGGTTTTATTTTTTCCATTGAGATAAAGATGAATTTAAATATGGAAAGTTTAGGTGACTTAAATCTCTTTGGAGGTTTATATTGTTTGGGTCAATTATTGAAACTAAAGCAAGTAAAAAGAGACCTTTAAATTGCTTTGACTGTTAGTTCACTCTCCAAATAAAGGCAATAAGGAGTTCTTTACTCACCTTTTTCTGGCATTTTGTCTTTTATCCCTTTCCTGTCCAGTGTAGTAGCCACTAACCACATGTGGTTATTTAAACTATTTAAAATTACAAAATATTCAAAATGCAATTAGTCACACTTGACGCATTTCGAGCGCTGAAAGCCATGTGTGATTAATGGCTACCATGATGTGTAGCACAGATAGAAAACATTTCTGTCATTGCAAAAGTTCTTTTGGACAACGCTGATCTGGACATTTGTTAAAATATTGCTGCAACCCTTTTTTCCCCCCAATTTTCTTTTTAAATTTCAGTTTTAATTATATATGAATGAGTTACTTGGGCCATGTCTTTGCAAAGAAGATAGAGTTAATGGGAATAAGCCATATTAAGCTGTTTTATTGTGTAAGAAACCTCTTTAAATACAAAGACTCTTTAAATTCTTCTCTAACCCCAAATTTTGAGTTACCTGCACATTGATGGAATCCATGTCGTTATATATACACTTATCAGTAGAGATCAGGAATGTGAGCATCAGAGTCAGACTGACTGATTACTTTTTCCAGTTCTACTTTTTATTAGTTGTGTAAATTAGGGCAAATTACTTTACCTCTGAGGTTTTGTCTTTTTCACTTATAGAACATGAATTACAGTGTTATTTATCTTATTTAAAGTTGGGAATAGTGAGGTGTTATGTGGAAAGGGCTTAAAATAGTTCCTGATATAATAAGCACTCACTATTTGCTTATTATAATTAGCATCATGTTTTATGTACCATAGGATACTACATAACTGGAACATTAATTACAGTGGTAGAGAAATGTGATGGACAAGAAACAGGAAAGTTTTGGCAGTTGGGAGCGTTTCAGAAAAAATGTTGGATAGAGAAGGAAGCAGTGTTATAAGTATTTGACTTGAAACTTGGTATTTTCTGGTCATGCTAGGTGTACTTTATCAGCTTTCACAGGCAGACTGTTTGGATAACAAGAACACAGAAAGGAGCAGTTATGGAAAGCAGCATTATTTAGTTGAACAGGTATTGGTCTAAACATTACAAAACCTGAGTTGACACTCTGCTTTAACTAGTTCTTTGAATGATCGTCTCAACTTTAAAAAAAGAATTGAACTGAATGGTTTTGAAGTTTCATCCCACCACTTAATTTACAAAGTATAATAAGGTTTCAGACAATAGAGTTCAAGAATCAACAGAGTTGAGAGGCTAAATTGGAGGAGTTTTGAATCTCATATTTGATTCAAATCTCTACAGGTACATTGACTATAGTAAGTGATTAGAAGAGTCACATTGTTCACATTCTTTTGTTAGTGAACAATGAAATGGTTAATAGGTAGAAATATCTAGAGGAAACACAGGAACTAAATTACTCACAAAATAGGAAATAAGACTCTTGAGAGTAAATCCTCTAGTTGAGTGTTCAGAGAGGTTATGTGCTGTTAACATTCTGAGCCCTTACTTGTTCCAATGATGTTTTATGTATTTTGCTGCCGTATCTAAAGGGGAGTAATAAGATAGATTTGGTAGTATAAGTGAAAAAAGTTAAACCCTGTGAAATCAGATTTACTTAAAGAAATCTTTTACAGTGCATATTTATGAAATAATTGCAAATCATATTCCCTAATTATTGTGAGTTATTATTTCAACTATACAGGTTTTACATGCTTCTGAGAAGTGTGGTTGTCAAGTTATCTTGTTCTTGCAACTGCCTTGGTGTTTATCAGAAGGAGGGAGACCTGCTTCTCATCTGCTTTCATTTTCTTCCTTACTGCTGTTACGCTGTCCTTTTCCTTTGCTCTACTGTTATTGTTACCAACCCTCCGCCACCATTCTCCCCAGCACCCCGCCCCCCCAAAAAGCTTTCATACCAAGGCAGTACAGAGAAAGGAGATTGTGCTTAAGGACATGAACTTATAGGTAGGGGGATTTTCTTGCCAAAAAAACCCACTTCTAGTAACTATGAATATTAATATAGAGTGAAGAGAGGAGAGATATGCTCTGCTTTTAAAATTGATAATATAAATAGTTTTTAAAGTAAAACTTGATTTTTATTGGGTAGAATTTTTAAATGGATTTTTCTTTTAGATTTTCTTCCTTTGTGGAAATTCCATTATGAAATGAAATAAAATCAAGTAAGAAGTCATTTGATATTTTTGGTTGGTATAATTAGTATAATTTTATACTAAAAAATGTTCTTTGATTCTTTCCATGTGGAAAGTTGTCTATGACCATTGAGTGAAAGGAGGAAGAATACACAGGAAGATGTCTCTTTAGTTATGCTATAACTGACAATTTTGAAACTTATTTACTAAGAAATGTGGGTCAGGATGCACCTGCACATCAGTTTAAACTCAGCACAAAGTTTATTATATAACTGAAGTTAAGCTTTCTAAAGATGCTTTTGGAAGATTTTAAAATACTGATTCCCGGCTGTGGATTTGAGAAAAAACAAAAACATCAAGTTTTCCAAATCCTGGTTAGACTTTTTATTTTAAAGTTCTCTTGAATGATGATTTAATCCAGGAATAGATTTGTGGATGAAGACCAGAAATACATAGTCACATTTGCTAATTTTTGGGTGATTAGTACGTGCTTAATGTTCAGAACAATTTCTCTCCTTGCCTGCAGATTAAATTTTTAATCTAAAATTGTACATGTAAATTTGATAATTTATTTGAGTCACTTTAATTAGTATCTACATATGATGCTCTTGAAAAATTTTTAGAGTGAGGGAAATTGTTTGTGATGTGCTACAGTGGTCTTAACCATTTATAGTTAGTATGTGGCTGGCAGTTGAGCTTTATTAACCTGATTCTTAGAATTCTTTTGTTTCATTATTGCTTTTCATAGCGTTAACAATGCTTGATTTAATATATTTAATATATGTTTTAAATATATATGTGTGTAAATTTTATATTTATTTAGAAGAACTCTGTGTCACACAAATTTCCTTGGTTTATAGAGAATATTTTTGTTAATGTTATATACTTCAAAAATCTTTGGATCTGAACTTTTAAAATGTTTCGTGTAAGTAATGAGTAGGAAATATGATCAGTGGAAATGTTCTAAATGAAAATATCCTTTTATAGAAATTCAGCATCTTTAAAAGGCTTTGAGAAGTCTAGTCTAAAGGACCTGTTAAATTTAAGGAATACCAAGTCAAAGTTAATTTGAACACAGGCCATGTTTCTTTACCATATATTTATTTGTTAATGTCTTGTTGAAAACTACTATGGTACACCAATTTTGGCAATTTTGTGTTTATGTACACAACACATACCAGAAAGATTTGTTGTCATCCAAATCATTTTTTTTTCACTAAGTAAATTTGAATAATTTTTAAAGGCAATACCAGTTAAAATGGTATTTTCTAAGCTTACTTTGCAGTTATCTCAGAGTTTTAAAGTCAATTCATTCTTAAATTTCAAACGTTTGTGCTAAGAAACATTTTAAGAAAGGCAGGAAAACATGAAATCATAAAGTCAGAATAGCTAGAAATCATTGAGTTAAGGAAACTGGTTTAAATTTTTCCATGATGTCATTATTTGCGGGAAGTATGGCTCTTTTACGCCATTTTCTGTTAATCCCTGTTTTTCAGCTCTATATGTACTTTTTTCATTTATTCCTATTAGTTTTTTTTTTCTCAAATATCCTATACACGATCCTAGATGATCTGAGATTAAGTACCATTTCTTAACATTTTGAAAATTGAATAAACTGTTAAGCAGGAGCTTTAGTAATAGGTTACTCTCTCTCCAAATGCAATTTACTGAATTAAAATTTTCATAGTATTTCCTAGGATTGTGATTAATCTAGATTACTGTAGAGTATTTAGACTTTCAACTGGTAAGGATAAGAGAATTGTATATGATTTGACTTTCAAATACATTACTTTTATCTACATAGGCATGAGATAATGTGGATGCAAATGTTAATGGGTAATTGCCCCTTTTTTATACTGCTTAAGTAGTTACTTATTTAAGATCTTGGTGACTGGTTACATCTGGTATGGTTCTATGTTTAAAAATAAAGAGTATTTCTTTGCAGGGAAGAGATAAAGAATAAATAGAAAAAACTTTATCTTTCTTACAGAAAATTTTAAAAAATGTATAAGTAGAAAAGTTAAAGCTGCAGTTGTGGTTCTTGGAGCTTGTTGGAAATGTACAGCCTTGGGCCCCACCTCAATCCCTCTGAATTAAAATCTTGATTTTAACAAGATTTCCAAGTGATTTGTGTTCATGTTAAATTCCTGTGCGTGTGTGTATATATATCTACACACACACACACACACACACACAGAGGGAGCTGTTTGCCTGGAGTCATTCAGCACCTTGCCGCTTTTTTTGTTGTTGTTGTTACTGATACTGTTATTTTTTTTTTCTGGGAACCCCCAAAGGATGGTGTCATGGCCCATGCCAGCAAGAGATTGAGTACATTTCATTTCTCTTGATATGATGATAATGTGGCATGCAGAGCTCTTACTCTGACTGAACCAGACATGGTATACAGAGTGTACAGAGTATTACATGAATTTATCATAGTTTATCCTCATAAAACTCCTGTGATGTGTGCAGTATTATGATTCCTACTCTCCAGAAGGGGAAACTACTAACTGAATTCCACACTTTACTTGGATTTCATTGGTTTTTCTATTAATGCCA